GCGTGTGTGCGCGTGTGCGTGTGCGCGTGTGCGTTTGCGTGTGCGTGTGTGGCGTGTGCGCGTGCGCGTGTGCGTGTGCGTGTGCGTGTGCGTGTGCGTGTGCGTGTGCGTGTGCGTGTGCGTGTGCGTGTGCGTGTGCGTGTGCGTGTGCGTGTGCGTGTGCGTGTGCATGTGCGTGTGCGTGTGCGTGTGCGTGTGCGTGTGCGTGTGCGTGTGCGTGTGCGTGTGCGTGTGCGTGTGCGTGTGCGTGTGCGTGTGCGTGTGCGTGTGGGTGTGCGTGTGCGTGTGCGTGTGCGTGTGCGTGTGCGTGTGCGTGTGCGTGTGCGTGTGCGTGTGCGTGTGCGTGTGAGTGTGCTTGTGCGTGTGCGTGTGCGTGTGCGTGTGCGTGTGCGTGTGCGTGTGCGTGTGCGTGTGCGTGTGCGTGTGCGTGTGCGTGTGCGTGTGCGTGTGCGTGTGCGTGTGCGTGTGCGTGTGCGTGTGCGTGTGCGTGTGCGTGTGCGTGAGCGTGTGCGTGAGCGTGTGCGTGTGCGTGTGCGTGTGCGTGTGCGTGTGCGTGAGCGTGTGCGTGTGCGTGTGCGTGTGCGTGTGCGTGTGCGTGTGCGTGTGCGTGTGCGTGTGCGTGTGCGTGTGCGTGTGCGTGTGCGTGTGCGTGTGCGTGTGCGTGTGCGTGTGCGTGTGCGTGTGCGCGTGTGCCGTGTTGCGGGTGGCGTGTGCGGTGTGCGTGTGCGTGTGCGTGTGCGTGTGCTTGGGCGTGTGCGTGTGCGTGTGCGTGTGCGTGTGCGTGGGATTCGTGGGCGTGTGTCGTGTGTGCGTGTGCGTGTGCGTGTGCGTGTGCGTGTGGGCGTGTGTGTGGTGTGTGCGTGTGCGTGTGCGTGTGCGTGTGCGTGTGCGTGTGCGTGTGCGTGTGCGTGTGCCTGCGCGTGTGCGTGTGCGTGTGCGTGTGCGTGTGCGTGTGCTGCGTGTGCGTCGTGTGCGTGTGCGTGTGCGTGTGCGTGTGCGTGTGCGTGTGTGTGTGTGTGTGTGTGTGTGTGCGTGTGTGTGTGTGTGTGCGGGCGGAGGGGAAACTCGAGAGGCGAGGCTGCCGCCACGGGAGGGGATGGTTCGTTGTACCCAGAGATCCGACGTCGTGATTCTTTCAAGACGGGGTCCCGGGAAGTCTCGACCCATTTCCCAGGACCGGCCTTTCACCAAAAACCTCCGTCCTGAGTTGTTCAGCACGCTGGATCTCTGGGTCGGGGGTCGCTTCGGCCGCGCCCGACCAGAACCTCATGCAGGAGGATGGCCTTCCGGCTGGGCAGCCGGGCGCGGCTGCGGCCTCCGCGCCCCCCGCCGCCCCGGCCCCGGAGTGGCCGAACAAGGAGTCGAGCTACGAGCTCACCACGCGCATCGGGCACGGGGCCTTCGCGACGGTGCACAAGGCCGTCATCAAGGAGGGCGCGAAGGCGGGCGCCGAGGTCGCGGTGAAGATCATCGAGCTCGAGGAGTTCGCCGACTCGAGCCTCGAGGAGATCCGGCGCGAGCTCCAGATGATGCGCATGTGCCGGCACGAGAACGTGATCGCGTACCACGTGGCGTTTCCGGCGAAGCGGCAGATGTGGCTCGTGATGCCGCTGCTCGCGGGAGGCTCGTGCGCCAACGTGATGCGGTCCAGGCAAGCGACCGGCGGCTTCGAGGACGAGAGCATCGTCGCGTATATATTGCGGGAGACGGCGAAGGCCATTAAGTATCCGGTTGCGTTGTCGCGCCCACCCAACCCCGCGCACTGGGAAGCAGCCGCGCAAGGCTATAGCAGCTGAGGTTACAACGCCTTGGAGGTCACATTGCTTGTTCAACCCAGTATCTCCTTGTTCTGGCTGGCTCGGATTGCTCATCAGGCACTTGGCAAGCAATCGATGCAAGCAATCGCGATATTGAAAATTATCCAGCGTGGACTCCAAAGAGCGCATTCGACGATTCACCGTACGTGCTGAAAGCTATGCGGTGCAATCTATGTGGTGTAAGGTATGCAGTGCTAGCTATGATGTATAAGCTATGTGGTGCAACCTGCGCGGTGCAATATGTGCTGTTCGCTCTTTTTGATGGCGCTATGTATTGCAATTAATGTGCAATACATGTGATGCGAGCTATGTGGTGTAAGCTTACTCGTGCAATCTAAATGGTGCAGTATGTGCGTTGCAATCCAAGTGATGCGAGCTAACTATGTGGCGTAAACTACGTGGTGGAGTACATGCGGCGCCAACGTACTTATCTAGGTGGCCTGAGCACCCATGCGGCCTGATCTATATGGCGTAAACTGTGCAGTCCTGTGCAGGCGGTGCAAGCTGCCCCTCGGAATCTGTCTTGCGGTGCGAGCTGCGGTGTTTATGAGGCTGTGTGGTGCAGCCTAACCTATGCCGTGCGAGCTACGAGGTGTGAGATATGCGGTGCCTTTGTGGGCCCCAGAAACGACAGGGCCGTTTTTTCACCGTTTCCCAAAACATGTCCATTGAAAATGGAAACGGCAAAAAAACGGCGACCAGAAACGGCAGAACAACGGCTCCTGGATCGGAGCTGGAGCCGGAACCGGTCAAACAACGGCGACGGAACCGGTAAAACAACGGCGTCGGAACCGGCAACAAAAACGGCAAAACGGAACCGGTAACAAAAACGGCCCTGTCGTTTCCAGGGCTCACGAAGTGCGGTGCCACCCATGGGGCGCCACCGCTGTGGCGCAGCCTGTGTGGTGTCCGCCACATGATGCGCGGCGACGGGAGGAGGAGGAGGAGGGAGGAGGAGGAGGAGGAGGGAGGAGGGAGGAGGAGGAGGGAGGGAGGAGGAGGGGGAGGGGGGAGGAGGAGGAGGAGGAGAGGAGGAGGAGGAGGAGGGAGGAGGAGGACGGGAAGGAGGAGGAGGAGGAGCAGACGGAGCAGCGATTACGAAATCTGGAGTAATTGTGTCTGTGTGTTTTTGCTTTCCCTCCCGATCGTCGTCGCCCCGTCTGCTCCGTCGCTGCTCGCCGCCGCCTCGTCGCCGCCTCGCCGCGGGCTCCCGTGGTCGGCCCGTGGTCGCCCCGCGGTCGCCCCGCGGCCGCCCCGTCGCCGCCTCGTCGCCGCGCATCCTCCTCCTCCTCCTCCTCCTCCTCCTCCTCCTCCTCCTCCTCCTCCTCCTCCTCCTCCTCCCCCTCCTCCTCCTGCAGGGGTATCAAGCCGTGCCGCCCAAATCTGCTATCCCTAAGGCAAACATGGGAACTTACGTTCGGCTACTCCAGATTTCGTAATAAAGGGAGGGGGGTCTCATTTCGGGGGGGGGTCTCTTCCAGGCCATCTTGGAGAGGGCCTGGGGGGGTCTGGGGGCGATGTTTCGGAGGGTTCTCCCACGGGGGAGGTCTGAAATGGCTTGTCTTGGTGGGTCCAGACCCCCTCCCTTTTATTACGAAATCTGGAGTAATCGTCGATTCCCAGGAAAATGTGGGAACATATGGGGAGTGGGGGGGGAAGACGAAAACCCAGAAAACATGTGAAAATGTTAGGAATATTTTTGTTTGTGTGTATGTATTTGTGTGTCTCAGGGCCCCTTCACACAAGCTGGCCAGGGCGGCACGCGAGCCCAGTGCCTCTGAAGCAAACCATCACGCACCACCGGCGTTGGAAACAGAAGTCGCTCACAGGAGGGGAAGCAACCCCTTTGCAACCGGCACGGGAGAACATACACATTTACCGTCTTCTATTGCGCCATTACCCTGCGAGGACAAGCGGGGACGACAGGAGAGAGGGAAGGGGGGCGGGGGATACCCGAGAGCGGAGAGGGAAAGGCCACGGAGCCAGGCGATACAGGAGAGCAACGGGGGTTGGGAGGGAACGACGACGGGGGCGGAGCAAAGCAAGGCAAGGCAATGCAATGCATAGCTGCGCACACCAAAACAATGCAACGCAAGGCAAGGCAAAGCAAAGCATAGCACGACAAAGGAATGCAATGCAATGCAAAGCGACGGAAATCAACGCAAAGCAGCGCAATACAATGCCGTGCGGAGCAACGCAGGGCAATGACACGCAGCGCCGTGCAAAGGCACGCACTGCAGAGCAACGCACATCAACGCAGTGCAAAGCAAACAATGCAAAATAAAACAAAGCAAGGCAAAGAAACGCACTGCAAAGCAGTGCAACACAGTGCAAAGCAAAGCAATGCAGAGCAAGCCAAAGCAACGCAATGCAACGCAATGGGAGGCAACGGAAAGCAAGCCAATGCAAAGCGATTCAAAGCCAGACAGAGCAGTGTACAGCCATGCCAAGCAATACAACGCATCGCAAAGCAAAGCAACGCAAAGCCACACCTTGCCAAACATGGCAAAGCAATGCAAATCAATGCAAAGCAAAGCAAAGCAAAGCGAGGCAGTGCACCGCACTGCAAAGCGACGCAACTCAACGCACAGCAACGCGAGACAGCGTAATCCACAGCAATGCCAAGCAATACAACGCAGCGCAAATACATTAAAAGCAACGCAATGCAGTTCCATGCAAAGCATCGACCAGCTACACGAAGCAAGGCAACTCAACGCACTGCAATGAACAAACACAAAACAAGTCAAAGCAACGCAATCAACGGAGCGCGAATCAACGCAACGCAACGCAAAGTAGGGCAGCGCATTGCAAAGCAATGCCATGCAACGCAACGCAAAGCATTGCAACGCATCGCAATGCAAAGCAACGACGTGCAACACAACGCAATGCGTAACACCGCAATACGAAGCAATGTAAAGCAAGAGTAATGATTGCACAGCAATGCCAAGTCATATGAAGCATCGCACAGCATTGCACAGCAAGTCAATGCAATACCAGGCAAAGCAACGCAGAGCAACACAACGCAACGCAAAGCAGCGCATTGCAACGCAACGCAACACACAGCAATGCAACACACAGCAACGCAACGCAATGCAAAGAAATTCAAAGCAATCCAGAGCAGCACACATTCACGCAGAGCAGCGCTCAACTACGCAGAGCAATGCAAAGCATCGGAGAGCAGTCAACTCGATGCGTTCTTCGAACGGCGGCGACGAGCGGCGACGAGCGGCGACGGGAGCGGCGCCGGCGGCGACATGACCGCCTGACCCGCCGCCAGGCCCAGACGACGGGCGGCGACGAGGCGGCGACGGGGCGGCCGCGGAGGCGACATAGCCGCCAGGTCGATAACATTCACTCCTCCTTCTCCTCCTCCTCCTCCTCCTCGGGTATGCTTCGGTCGGAAAGAAACAAGGAGAGAACCCTGGCCCCCCGCCGAGAAGGGTTAGCCTGTGCGGAGGATTGTCCACATGATTGCGGAGATCTCGAGTACGGGTTTCGAGGCTGTCGCCACGTACAGCGGTTGGCAGGTGAACCCGGTGTCCCGCGTTTGCGTCTGGCCGCCAAGTCGGTGACATTCACTCCTGCCTGCGTCATATTCTTACCCATCCGCCAGCCGCTGCGGGCGTTTGGCCCAGGAGCTCCCGCACCTCGAAGGAGGTGGTCGGCGCAACTGGTTTCGGAGTGCGCGGTGCGCCCTGGCCGGCAGGAAAGGGAGGCGCTTGCTCGCTCGAGCCGCTTCCATGGCGTCCACCAACATGGAAGGATATGTCATGCAGGAGGTCATCTCGAAGGGACCCCCTGAGCTAGGATAAGATGGGGCACGACACATCACACTCGCAAGGCTGTTGTGCGGATGATGTCCAACCTTTGACCCAAAATGGGTTATCAGGCGAAGGCTCTGAGAGAGCTGCAAGGAAGCATGATGCTGCCGTCTACCTTGAGCCAGCTGTCGGCTTCCATCGCATTTGCCATGCGGCTGGCAGTGAGAGCGCAGACGAGAGTTCGAACGACCTCGCAAGCATGATCCTCCGGAAAACGAGCGTCGGCATGCTGAGAAAGTGGTGCCCAGTCGCGTCGAACCGACGAGTTCCACGTGCATCGCAGACTGCGGGAAAAAAGGGGTGCATGCTACCGCCAGCGAGTGGCCCGTGGCAGGTCCAGACCCTTCCGTGCTTGGGAGAGGAAGGGGGCTCCCCGCGAACGTGAAGTCCATCACCGAAGCGATGGCAGCGCTAGGGAGCCCCAGCGGGGCGGAGGGAAAGTGTGCTCACCAGTCCCTGGCTGACAGCGCGTCGCCACTGTGCTCGTCCGATGCGGACATGCGGCTCGGGGGCGATCAAGCACACGATCAGATATGAGACGGATCGGGATCGGGCGGGAAGAGATATGAACGAATCCTGCCCCCCGCCGATCAGGGCTGGGTTGTTCGGAGGATTATCCACATGATCGTGGAGATCTCGAATACGGTCTCCGGCCCTGTCGCTACGTGCAATGATGGGCAGATGAACCTGGTGTTCCGCGGCTATGTCACGGCTAAGATACAAGGGTTGTATGACGAAAGGTGGACCGGCGAATTGCTGATGGTCCCTTGTTCCTCGCCCTTGGTGAGAAAATCACGGGAGCATCGTCTCACCTAGCCGTGGGAAAAAAAACATGTGTTTTTCGACATCCTAGGCAGGGAGTGGTTCTTTAGTGCGGGAGTGGTTCTTTAGTGCGGCTGGCTCGTCGAAAGCGGATCGGGTCATGAATGAGCGCGGCGTGTTCTACGCTACGATGGCCATGTTACTGGTGGAGAGTTCTATGGGCATGGAGTATCAGCCCCCTGCCGAGCATGCTGCGGCCGCGCCTGCGGCTGTCGGGCCCTGTCTGCCTCCGCCCGCATTTACGGAGACGGGCGCCGAAAAAGAAGGTGATGGCAGCGGACAAGTGATGGCCTTGCCGGCGCTGAAGCGGCGGTAGCCCAAGGGGCAGGGGCGCGATAATGGCAGATAGGGGTGCCAAGGGGGATGGGGAACGTGCGAGCGATAGAAGTATGAGCCGCGATATGGACGAAGAGGGATGGCACAGTGGAGACCATGGATCCGGCAGTGCCGGTGATGGCGACCGGACTTCGAGTGGGTATGATAAGTGCCGTGGAGTTGGCAGCGCTTGTGGTGGCATCTGGAACTTAGGGAGCGGTCGGTGCGAATATACTTAGGACGACGAGTCTGGAAAGTGTCAGGAGGGCCGTGACCAGTCTTGGTAGAACAACGATTTTGAAAACAAGTCTGGCAAGGGAAACAAGTATGGCGGCGGCAGGAGTAAGACGTGATCGAGGTCGTCGCTAGCTGCGGTGACACGTGTGCGATTGAGCGATCAACGCTTGGATGCCCCCCGGGCTTGTCGAACAAATCAAGGGTCCGTAGAGCATCCATGGCCTTCCATTTGCAGCGGGAGCCAGAACCACGCGGAAGGTGAGCGCTGTAGAAAATTGTGCGGGGGTTGTCGTTCCCGGCGCGTGAGGGCTTGGCATCTCCAGTACCCGACGCCGGAGGATTCGATAGCATTCATTTGTGCTTGCGTTATATGATCACCCATCCACCTGCCGTTGCGGGCGTTTGGCTCAAGAACTCTTACGCCTCGAAGGAGGTGGTCGGCGCAACTGCGTTCGGAGCGCGCGGTGTGCCCCGGCCGTTGGGACAAGGAGGCGCTTGTTCTGCTCGCGCCGCTGCCATGCTGTCTACCTACATGAAGCAATGCACAGGGTCCTCTCGAAGAGACCTTCTGAGCTAGGAGAATACGGGGAAGAAGCATCACAATGGCTGGGCTGTCCTGCGGATAGTGTGATTCATCTGACCAAGAACACGCCAGACCAGCCCGCAGGCCCAGACGACGGTCGGCGACGAATGGGCGACGGGGTGGCGACGTCGGCGACACAGCCGCCAGACCGGCCCGCAGGTCCAGCTGCTCACTCCATAAACAAGAACCCCTAAATGCAAGCATTGTCAAGTGCAAGCGCTGTTTTGGGGAATCATACATGTCACGTAAGCTGCACATCGTATGAATGCATATACAAGTGGCACGTGTGTGCCCAGGCTCATACAACAAGCTGAAGGGGCGTTTGAAGCAGGAGTGACATGCAACAGCGAAGTCGCACTCGAGCGCAAGTGGGGTTGCCGCACCTTGCGATGTGTGTACCAGGGCCCCCCAGGAAGCCTCAGGAGGCCCGACTTGGATACCAGAAGAGGCTCCAGGAGGCCCCAGGATTGTGAGTGTGTGTGTGTGTGTGATGTGTGCTTTGTGTGGTGCGTGCTTTTTGTGTGTTGTCGGTGTTGTGTGTGTGTGTATGTTATGTTTGTCTAGCGTGTGATGTGTTGGGCGTGATTTGTGTCTCTGTGTGTGCATGTAGTTCTGACGCCCCAGGAGGCCCCAGGAGGCCCCAGGCGGCCTCAGCAGGCCCAGGAGAACTCCAGGAGGCTCCGAGGCGGGGTCTGGGGTACCAGAAGGTCCAGAAAGCCCCAGGAGGCCCCAGGAGGTTCCAGGAGGCCCCCAGGAGGCTCCGAGGAGGGGTCTGGGGCTCGATTTTGGGGAGAACCGCCATTCTCTGAGAATCAGGGTCAAAATTATTGAAATTACCATGTGTGTTTGAAGGTTTTATGTTAACATGTTGAAATTCCCATGTGTTTTTGGACCCTGACGTCACGATCTGCGTGAGGGGTGCCACCGATTTTCAGAATTTCGAGGATGTCCCGAGCAAAACGGCCAGAAACATCGCGGACGACGTGCGCATTAATCGCCTCTGAGCTCTACTCCCTCGGAGAGGTGCGTATGAGAATATATATATATATATATATATATATATATATATATATATCAGACGTGTAAACATACATGGATAATTCGCGCATCGTTTGTTTACAGCGCTGTATCGGCACATTGGTTTGCCCATTCCCGATCCAATTAAGTACCGTATAGCATGTCTGCTGCGTTCACCACCAAGGACTATATCATTCCGCGCAGGCAACAATCATATTCAAAGCTACGCCATGACATATGCAACGGTCTGTGTGTTTTCAGGGGTAAAAGGCTGTTCGCCCACGCGAACCTTTTCAAGTCGCATGCGTGCTGGGTGGTTCGACCGAGCGTTGTCGTGCTCATTCTGTTTTGGCCTCCTGTTCCAGCGGGTGGGAGTGGAACCGCGGGGTTCCGTCGTCAGGGCCAGCCCCGTGGGCGACGCACCCGGGGTGTTCTGTCGATTGTGTTTTGGGTGTTTTAGGGCTCAGGGGTGGTGGTGTCGGGGGACCGTTCAAATCAACGTATGCTAGAAAACTGCCGTGTAATGGCATGTTGGGTTACATCGGGGCCTGCATGGGACCTTCCTGTGTCCCCCTTGGTAGAACGCGAAGGGCCTTGACGGCCCAAGAGGGCCGAGGCAGCAATATCACATTTCGCGAGAAGGTTTCCGCAGTACTTGATGTTTGGTGACCATGTCGGTGGCTATCCAAAACGTTTTTTGGAGAGTGCTCAACCGGTGGGTACGATTGATCCACTTGGCGTGGTCTTGGCAGCGACTGGATCGTGATGGGGGAGGGGCAGCAGGAGGAGGGGGGAAGAGGCCTTTACAAGAGGAGCCCAAGATTCCATTGTTCTGTTTTTTTTTCAGTGCCGCCCACCTTTGAAGCCACCAGATGTCCCCAGAGGGTCCAAAGAGGGTCCCAAGAGGGCACCACATGTTCCCAAGCTGCCCTGGAGAGGGCTTAGCACCATCCTGTATATTTATATATATATATATACACACATGTGTTTAAACGCATGTGTAACCATGTGTGAATGTGTACACAAACACACACACATACATCCATACAAACAGACAGACAGGCATATAGACACACATACATACAGACATACATATATACATATATACATACACACGCACATACTTGAACATGAGTTTCCGGCAATGCACCTTGCTCCTCACAATTAACTTCTCAGGCAGGCGAACAGTGCACAGCCGAGCAACAAAAGCACCTCCTCGGAGCGGGTCCCCACGCAGGCCCAGACGCGTTTTTTTTCTCCCTCGCGGGACTCACACTTGCGCAATTGCCGCCAGTTTTGTGGGCAGCGTGTCCCCGCTGAGCCCCAGACTAGACTTCGCGCTCCCTCGAAGGGGGGAGCGCACCTGCAGCAACTTTCGCGGGCTCGCCACTTTCGTTAAGATCCTGGGTGGCCCTGTGGAGCGGGGTCCCACGCAGAACCGACCGAGACCTCAGGCTCCCTCGCGGGGCCACTGACTGCGCAACCGTCGCCGCCACCTCCGTGAGCTCCTGGGAGGTCCAGCGCGACCAAGCTAGATCCCCATCTGCGCAACCCTCGCCACTTTCGCGGGGTGCTGGGTGTCCAGCGGAGTGCGAGGTTACGCGGATTCGAAGTAAGCATGTGTTTGATCGTCGTCGCTCGTCTCTCTTGATTTTTCTGTCCGGTTCCTTCGGCGGTACAGCATATAAGTACCACGAGCGTGCATCACCGACCCCTCCTGTGTAGCATTGACAAGAGGTCGCGTCACTCGTCGAGTGTGTTGCTGATGTTACATGTTCCACATGGAATGGGCACGCCCCTTGGTAACAGAAAGTGGCCGTCGGCCCATGTCGCCACCATGCTTAGGTTGTCGGCCAGAGGCATTTGGGATGCCTGTTGAGGTCTCGTGGGATGCCTCTCGGAGGCCTCTTGAGGGGGGCCCTGGGGACTCTAGGAAGCCTCTTGGGGTCCTCTTGGGGGGGGAGGCGCCCGAGGCACCGTTGCGTTCCTCTTCTCAGGGCCCTCGTGGACACCTCTAGGGCAGTCTTGGGCCTCCCTGGCAGTCTTTGGGCAGTCTTAGGCCGTCTTTGGGCCTCCTTGGGTGCCTCTGTTGCCGCCTTGGGTCGACCACGGGGACCTCATGGGCAGTTTTGGGGCGCTGGATGCTTGCACAGGCAGACACGCAACAACCTGTAGAAAACCCGAGGGGAACCGGTGTTTGTTTCGTTTTGGGGGCCCTCTTGGGGGGCCCTGTTGTGGCCCGGGAGTCTTGGGGGCCTCGTGGGCTATCTGCACCCAGCGGCGCTCTTGGGCCGTCCCAGGGGCCTCTGGGAACGCCATCGGGCATTGCTGTGACCCTCTTGGCTTGTCTTTACGCCCTGTGGCTTCGGGAACAGGACTCATACGTGAAGCCCCGGAAGCCAAGCGACACTTCCCAGGAACCCCATCAATCGGGACTCCACGCCCTTACAGGAGAACTTGCCGATTTCAACATTTCCTAGATGAAGGATTCCTACGGAACTAAGGACACTCCGCTTCGTTCTGGTGGGCACGCTTGCGGGTGTGGGGGATGAAGAAGCGCAAGTGTTGCCGATTCAATCCAGCATCGTGTCAGATCATGTTTGGGTGTATGAGAGTGACGTGGGTCGCGTTTTTCCATGTGCGTAAACAGAAGATTCGCGCTCACCGCTTTGAAGTGCGGAGGTGGATTTCCATGACAACATGCAGATACACAGGGATCTCAAGGCTGGCAACATCCTCTTGAGCGGTGATGCCAAGGTCTACCTCTCAGACTTTGGTGTGGCCGCGCCATTGCGGGACGAGCAGCAGCGCAAGACATTTGTTGGGACGCCGTGTTGGATGGCCCCAGAGGTGCTAGAGCAGGTGGATGGCTATGGTTACAAGGCCGACATCTGGTCTTTCGGCATTACCGCTATAGAGCTGGCATATGGCGAGGCGCCATACCAGCGGTTACACCCTCTTAAGGTCATGAAGATCATAATCGAGAAGGACCCGCCACGCATCGACAGACGCAAGTGGGACGCCCTCTTTGTTAACCTCATCGAGTGTTGCTTGCAGAAGGACCCCAAAAAGAGGTCGAGCATGGAGGACATATTCGCCAAGCACAAGAAGTTTTTTGCCAAGGCTAACGAGCAGCCCCTGGTCGATATCCTGAACAGCCTCCCACCGCTCGAGCAGCGGATCCAGCCGAAGCCGAGCTGGAAGCCCGAAGCCATTGTGCAGGCCCTGGACAAGGCGCCGGTGAGCCAGTCGTGGGACTTCAGAACGGACGACCACGACGACAAGGACGACCCGCTTGCCAACCTCGGCGAGGAGGAGATGTGAAATGTTGCTGGGGCCCTGTTGGGACACCCTTCGGTTAGTTGGCTGGCCGCGTCCCGTGTACTGGCGCCTCCTCGGCCCCAGAAGGATGGCGCTGGTGAGGGTGTGGGGGGAGAGTTAGAGAGCAGCAATAGAAGGGTGAGACGGGGAAGCGGGAGGGAGAGGATGAGGACGAGGACGAGGACGAGGACGAGGAGGAGGAGAAGGAAGAGGAGGAGGAAGATGGTGGAAAGCCAAGGAAAAGAAGGTAAGAGAACAGGAGAAGGGAGAGAAGAAGGAGGAGTGGCAGAGGGAGGGAGGGAGGAAAGGAGGCATGAAGGGAAGAGAAGCAGCAAGGGGAGGAGCGGGTGTTGGAGGAACCGCGAGGCCCCCGCAGGGCTCCCGTAGACCTGCTTACGCCTGTCACTCCCTGATACTGGTCCTCCTCCTCCACAGTGTGCTCCCCTTCCTCCTCCCCTTGCGCCTCTTTCTCCCTCCTCGTTCTTTCTTCGCCTCATTCTTCCTCTCATCCTCCCTCCTCTCCCTTCCCTACCACTTCATACCTCACGACTCGGGGTCGCTGGCCCCCGAAGCTCTCGACCCCTTCCAGCGGGCCCGGAGGGAGTAAGGAAGGCCTGGCGAGGGTCTGTATGTCGGAATGGAGAGGCATGGAGATGTAGCATGCGCGGGGAGGAGGGAGGGACCGGAGTGGAAGGACGGAGGAGGGAAGGGGAGAGAGAGCGAAAGAGAGATGGCGAGAATGAGAATGAGAGGGAGCGAGACAAGGAACCGAGGGAGAGGGAGAGGCAGCGGGCGAGGGAGAACGCGGAGGTGGACAGAACCCCCAACAGTGACACGTCGATTAGTGAATTGTCCGTTTTCGGTTCTCGAGAGGGCGCCGTGGCCGTTATTTTCCAGGCCTGCGCCCGCCGGGTTTGGGCCTCAGGTCGTTTTCACTAAACCGCGTTTTCCGAAAGGGGGTCCTGTCCATCCCCGAAGAAAGGGAACGAGAAGAGGGGGAGAGGGACGGAGGGAACGAGAAGAGGGGAGAAAGGGAACGAGAAGAGGGGAAGAAAGAGAACGAGAAAGGGGAATGAGAATGAGAGAGAGAGAGGGATGGACGAGGAGAGAGGGGGACGTGGATGAGTGGACGCATTGGGCACTGGGGGAGGAGGGCCGAGGAGCAGGAGGAGTAGCCAGGTCAGCAGGTCGAGCGAGCCAGGGGGCCACGCCCATCCCCACCCGCTGCACAACATAACATAGCAATATGATCTTACGTCGGACATGTCCCCCTACAGGAGGAATCTTCATGTATACGTGAGTACTTCGGGGATGGACACCCCCCCTTTAGAAAAACGTGGTTTAGTGAAAACGACCTGAGGCCCAAACCTGGCGGGCGCAAGCCTGGAAAATAACGGCCACGGCGCCCTCTCGAGAACCGAAAACGGACAATTCATTAATCGACGTGTCACTGTTGGGGGGTCTGTCCACCTCCGAGAAATACCCCAATCAACAGTCTTTGTAGGGCTATTGGGCGATGGGGCTATGGGGCTTTCTAGCTAAGGAACTATAGGGCTAGAGGGCCACAAGGCTATATATATATATATATATATATATGTATACGCACATATATATATGTATATATATATGGCTATAGGGCCATAGTGCTATAGGGCGATAGGACTATATGGCTATGAGGCTATGGGGCTATACCTCTATAGGGCCATAGGGCTATGAGTCTGTAGGGCCCTGGGGCCATAGGGCTCTAAGTCCATGGGGCTATAGGGCTACAGAGATATAGAGCTACGAGGCTGTAGGGCTATGGGGATATAGGGCTATGGGGCTATACGGCTTGAGGGCGTCGAGGCTATAGGGCTGAAGGGCTATAGGGCTACAGGGCTATATGACTGTAGGGCTATAGGGATTGGCTGTGGGGCTATGGGGGCTATACGGCTATTGGGCTATAGGAATATTGTGCTATAGTGCCATGGAGCTCTAGGCGATAGGGCGACAGGGCCATAGGGTTGTAAGGCTACCAGGCTATATGGGGTACAGGGCTATAGAGCGATTGGGCTACTGGGATATAGGGCTATTGGGTTATGGGGCTAAAGGGCTATAAGGCTACAGTGCTATAGGGCTGTAGGGCTATAGGGCTATAGGGCACCTGGGCACCCGGGCGGGCCGCGGAAATCTGTGACACACTTCACCACTCGTTTAATCCGCGAGGACCCCTGCAGAGGCAAGCTCTGTTTGTGCAAAGATGGTCAAACAGTCCCTCGAGAGGAGGCATATTCAGCGATAGCGGACAACAGCCCAATCAATTTCTTTCGGCCGATTCGGTTGTAGGGCGTTGGGACTCTGGGTCTATACGGATATGTTCTAGGTCTATAGGGCTATGGTGCCGTAGGGCTATCGGGCTGTAGGGCTATAAGGCTATGGGGCTAGAGGGCTTTGGGGCTATGTGGGTCCCTATATATAATTGCTCTTCCAAGCGTCGCCTGTACGAGGAAACGCCCGACCTAATTCTATTTTGGCAGAGTTCGAGATTGGGATTGCAACGCATGCCCGCCTGGCAAGCGGAAGTCCGCAGCGGAAGGCGCCCGGGCGCGGCCCCGCTTCCGACGACCTGGCGAAGGGAAGGCGGCGAGGGCCGCGCAGGAAGTCGGGAGCGCCAGAATTTCCGATGAGCGCGGCGATGACGAAGCATGCGCCGCGCTGACACAGCACTGGCTTTTTCAGGCACGAGCTGCGCGGCGGCTGCGCAACGACAGCGTTTTTTGTTCCAACGTTCTCGCGCAGCCGCGCCCAGATGTCCCAGCGCTGCGAGGCCGAGGCCCAAGGACGCAGCGGGGCACTTGCAGCGCAGCGCCCCCGAAGCGGGCGATCGGCGCAGCCCTTGCCGAGCAGACGTTGGTCGTCCTTCTCGAGACGCATCGAGCGAAGTTGAGCGGCGTCGATGACAGGTGGAAGCAAGGGCAGAAATGCGCCGGCCAGGGAGTCGGGCACCTCGCTGGGCGGAGCGCTCCGCCCGAGGTGGCCCTTCGAACAAGGGCGCAATCTAAAGCCAGACGCTCGTCCGCTTGACGAGATCGGTCTAGGAGGCCCCTCGGGCCAGGCGTCGGCCAGGGCGGGCCCCCCTCTCGGCGCCGCCCCCCTCCGGGGGGCAGATGGCAGCAATGTGGCAATGCAGCCCGCCGCGCAGCGGCCGCCCCATCCCCGGGGGGCAGGGGGGGGGGGGGGGGGGGGGGGCAGCTGAGGGCCGCCGCGGCGGCGTCGCCGTTATTCCCGGCCCGGCGGCCAGATGCGCAACGGAAAAAGGTGACCCTGGCGCCGGCGTTTCGGGCTCAGACAGCCGCGGGTCGGCGCGCCGCGCCCCCGGCGGGTAGAGTTTGGGCGACCGCGCCGCAGCAGCGGTGACCCCGGAGCATTGGATGGGCGGGGCGGGGGGGGGGGTCGCCTGCGCCATGATGGCATCAGGTCGGCCAAGTGATGTCACCCACTTCCCCGCAGGGTCAGGGGGGCCGACGCGCGGCGGAACGGCGGGGCGGCGGGCGACGCGCTTCGCAACCTGCGCAATGAGGATTTGAGTATCGCGAAAATTTAGACACAAGCGCTGCGCCTGGCCCTTCACTCTGACGCGGGGCTGGGGCAGAGGGCGCCGCGGACCTTCGCTGCGGCGCGCCGCGCGGCGGCGAGAAGTTCCGCCGCTGCCCCTGCGCAACGACGAAGGCTACATCAGTGCGTCGCTCCCGTGCCTCATTCTCTCCCACGCGAGGCATGGCGGCCCACGGCTGGGACAGCCGCCGCGACTTCCGAGGGGGGGTGTAGCGTCGGCGCCGCGGTCTGCCTCCAAGTCCACCTCGAAGATCACCTCGGCTCAGACCGCGGCATCGACGGGGGCGCGCGCGCGTCGTCCGAGGGAAGGCACGCGGCGGCGCATCAGGAGGCCATCTATCGGATGGAGGAGGCTGCCGAGCGCCTGCGCGCGCGTCGCGGCCGCGACGCCGCCGCCCCGAGGGTGGCCCGCACGGGGGAGGTCAAGACGATCTGCTTCGAGCGCCCCGTTCATGTTGCCGCTCGACCAGTGGCTCGAAGTGGCCGCCGCCATGGCGCGTTGCGCGGACGACGAGTGGCACGTCGTCACTCAGCAGCTCCTCCGCATAGGGATACCTGCCCAGGTGGAAGAGGAGCGCATCCCCGTGGTTCGCGGGGGTCGCGAGGCGGGCGCCCCCCTGGGGCATTCACGCCACCTTGGGCTGTTCGCGGACCTCGCGCCGACCGGCGCTGGCCAGACCTTGATCCTTGGTGGCATCGACGCGCTGCTGCTTCCTGAGGAGCACTCGCAGGCGGTCCTCGTGGACGACTAGGTCGCGATCCTCTCGGGCGACGACGTCTCAGACTGCTTCCACCAGAGCGCGCCGCCACCTCGCTGGCGGCGCTTGT